CTTTTATATATATATATATATATATATATATATATATATATTAAAACATCTACTAAATATTTGATTTTGAATTCAGTTTTTATTGTGTATCAATTTGAGGCTGTTATAGAAATTCATAAATTTCAAATTTTGGATCCGCCTTTGTAGATGAGAACTTCCCTCAAGTTCAACAAAGTTCTCAATTTGATGCTGAAAAGCTGTTTGTACTTTGTTCTGTAGACAATGTAATGCATGGTTGTGATTGATAGTATAATGAGAATATTATTTTAGCAGATTAATATATCAAAAATCCAAATGTGACATAAAGTATAAACTAGTACTATAGTACAAAGTAATAATAGAAAATAATTTTTTGCTTTGCTTTATGGATGATCTAGATGACATTAGAATTAATTCTTCAAGAATAAAACGTGTAGTCATCAACTTGTATGTGAAGCTTAGTAGTTGAATACTATTAAATTAAATGCATAAATTAAAATTTTATAATAGTACTAAAATTAAGGTAATGTAGCAACAACATCCGTGAGTGTATATATATATGGGGTTTGTCTTTCAAAATTTTTTCACTCTTTCTTCATTTCGTTTTCAGTTATTAATTGAATTTGTCTGTAGTAGACCACCCCATATGTTATTGTTAGAAAAAGGATAGTACATCCTTCAATCAATACTGGTTTATTTATTTTATTATATATAGTATTTATTCCTTATATGAATGAAGCTAGAGTTCTTCATTCATTGAATTCATAAAATCTTTTTCTCTTTAATTTCTTTGTGATTTTCTTAGTTTCCGTAGTAAATTTGATTATCGAGGAGATATGGAAACTTCGCAGTCTCTCTCGATTGAGAGTTTTTCGTATAGTTGGTTAGTAGATTTGGGGGATTCTTTCAGAGCTGCTATGGATGATTCTGGAGATGATTATGAAACTGCTTTTATTGAGATGGATCCTGCACTACCTCCATCAAAGAGGTTTTTTAATGTGAATCCACAGGATTTGAACTTTGATTTTCCTACATCGGATTCTTCTTCAACTCTTGTTCATGCTGATGAACTCATTTCAAACGGCTTCTTGATGCCTCTGTTCATCAAGAAGCCGATGAAGATGGAGTTGGATTACGATGTAATTGAATCCGACTCCATCGTGAATTCTCCTGATGCGCAGCAGGAGGATGAATCGCGTTCGTCCTCTTGCAGGAGGGTGAATCGGTGTGTATCGTTGAGGAGATGCCGGAGTTTGTCGAGGAGGATTTTGTTGAAGTATTTTGATTTTCTTAGACCGTTTTGCCAGAAAATAAGAAGGTGTAGTAGAATTGGTAGGTGCAGATCAAGTAGTGGAAAGGAAGTGATGAAGAAGTGGGACTATTGTTCAGCAGCAACATCTCCAAGGACAAGTGTAGCTTATTCTGTTGATAATTGGCGCAGATCTTGTGATTCTGAAAGCTCTATTTATGAAGCTGTTCTACATTGCAAAAGAAACCATTAATGGTATGTTACTACTTCTTTTCACTTTCTCTCTCTTCTACTTTTTTTTCAGGATCTAGAGTTGCAGAGTTTGAAATAAGTTGAATATTTCACATACGTGTGTATATACGTAGTTCGAGTTAAAAGGCAATAATTGTAGCTAAACTCAGAACTTATTGTTGAGTTTATTCCACATGGATCGTGAGATTAGTTTTTTTTGTTTCTTTTATGATCTTAGACAATATATACTCACCTCATAACTATTTTTTTTGAATTTACACCGAAGATCCATTTATTATCATGATTAGAATTAAGACTCATTTTGAGTTTTTGATTTATTCAATATTGGACCCTCATATTATGTTGTCCATGCTACAGTTGTCAGGTCTGGACATGTGAGATATGTTGAGGTTGTCCCACATTAGAATTTCATCTTTTTTGAATAAGTTAACTTTTGAATTGAATTAGGGTCAAGGTTCATATTTCTTATCGGTTTCTCTAGATCCATCTATGCATGTTGTAGATTTTTTGATTGTCACTCAGATTATAATATTGTTTTTTTTGGTTAATTTGTTAAATTTCAGGTAAATAGAGAAAATGAGAAGCAAGTAATATGGGATGAGAGGTCTAAAGAAGTTCACATGTGACTGAGGGGTCGTTTGGTGTGAGTGATAGAAATAAATAGTGATGAGATAAGAAAATAGTGATAGGATAAAGTTTTTGTATCTTGTTTGGTTGCCATGTTTGAGATAATTTATCCCACCATTTATATCATAGTGATGGAATAAGTTATCTCGTATATATGGTAGAATAAGTTATCCCAAAATAGTTAATCCCAAAATAACGTATCCTGAAATAACTTGTTACCAATCAAACGACCCTGAATCCATTAATTGTCACTTTGTATAGCTCTTTCTCTTTTCTTCGGGATTGTGAATATTTTGTCTTCTTGAAGGAAGTGGAAAAAGCTTGTAAGGAAGGGACTGTGTCAGCCATGAGAAAAATATTCTTTGGAATTTTTGAAGATACGATATATCTTCATCATGACTCATACTATTTTATTTTATTTTGTCCTTTTTTTTTCTGCACAATTTCAACTAGGGAATTGTCTTGCTTTTGTGATTTGTATAAAGTTTTTATGGGAATAATAATAATAATTCAGAATTAATATATTGTATGTCATCACTTACGTACTTACCCTATTGCATTTACCCTTTTGATCTAGCTAATTATTATAACAAGCATATACTAAAATATGTTATAATGATAATAACTATATTCCTATGAAGAAAGTACTAGTAATTAAATTTGGATTTATGTTCATGGGATTGAAACAGTTTAGTACTACTAGAAGTAATAGTTTTATAATATATTCGAAAGAGAATTCATATCGTTTTCTGCATGCCTTGTATCTGCCATTAATGGCGCCTAAATGGTCGACAAAAATAAATTTGTTAAGTGTATGGCCATTTTGTGAAATGACGGTGATATTTAATTGGATTAATACCTCAGATGGTCACTCAACTAGCCAGTCTTTCCTCAGAAAGTCACTCACATGGTGATTTTTTAGTGAAAATTAAAAGTTGAGTGACTTTCTGAGGTAAAAGTGGATAGTTGAGTGATCATCTAAGGTATTAACCCTATTTAATTTGTCTAGTCTAATACCATATTGAAATGTGTTATAATTTAGAGTAAATTTTAGGTTTACTAAACATAAAAATCATATTTGTATGTTATATTTATAGTTTGTATAATTGCGTTCCATAACAAACTTTATGTTTGCTATGGCTATTAATCTGTATATTTCGGTATATATATACATAAAAATTTGTATTTGGGTCTATTTGTATATTTCGGTACACAAATGGGTCTTGCAATTAATTTTTATACAACAAACATGTATACCGAATGACTTTATTTGTATATTTCGGTAAACAAATGGGTCCTACAATTAATTTTTATACAACACATATGTATACCGAATGAGTCTATTTGTATATTTTGGTATACAAATGGGTCCTACAATTAATTTTATACAACACATATGTATACCGAATGAATCTATTTGTATATTTCGGTATATATACAAATGGAATGGCAAAATATATGGAATGTTTACTGCAAATCACAAATAAAAGAAACTATGGCTATAACATTTAATTTGAATTAATAATTTGCTATTTATCTAAAAATTTAAGTTATCAAAGAGAATATTATTATTATTATTATTTAATTATATTCCCAACATATCTATCATTAATGGCCGCTTAAATGGTCGACAAATATAAATTTGCCCCACTCGAAAGTGATGTACCTATTTAAGAAAAAAAAATTGGTCACTTTTAATTGCTTGTCTATTTTAAACTCTTTACTTTGAAAGCTTATAATTTAGACAATATTATCTATCAATTCATTTTATTTATCCATAATACGTTCTTATATTTACTTGTCACTTTTAGCTTATTAAGAAAAAAACATGTTTTATTCTTAATGTTAATTACGTATTTCCCATATTCGTTTCAACATAAACCAAACATCGATTAATATAAATTTGTGGTAAAATAACTATATCAATAAGTATTTCTGAAGATCAAGGCTGCAAAGTTCAAAATAGATTTTAATAAAATAATAAGTCTCGAATAAGTTGTACCTTTAATTACCAACATTTCACTACCATTTGTCTAAAGCAAAGAATTTACAGCAACTTGAATGTAAACACTATTCAATGAAATACGAATAGGGAAGATTGAAAAGAAGAAGAACAAAGTGAGAATATTTGGAGCCTAGAGACATGTTAATTGATTATTTCATTATTACATTTTTAGTTTTTATTTTCAGTCTTTCGGATTTTAAAAGTATATATATAGCGAATGGGCAGGTGTTTAGGGCTAGTTTCTTTTAATTAATACAATAAAAAAAATCTCAAAAAGAAGAGTACAAGAGAGGAGGCTAAGGCATTACTTATCTTAATAAGATAACGAATTTCTACTAATTAACATGAGAAAATATATGAGTTAGAGAAAATTAGAAATTTTATACCACATAAATAATGAGGTTAAAAGCCTCCACGTCAGTCAGCTAAGTGCATGTACCTTCGAAAGTTCGAAGGGTTATGAATTTTGATTATTTGATAGGGGCCTTTGATGAAATGACTGCTTAATGTACGTACAACAAATAATCTCATTTTGTCACCAAAATTATATACTTCTTCAATTTACCTGTCTTAGCTTAATTGAATATGAAAATTTAGAGGAAAAAAATAAATAAGAAAGGATTTTAATTCTTTATGATTTTAAATTTAGAAAAAAAATGCATAATGTATTAAAGAGTTGTCAAATTAGTAAGGATTATATTATTGTTTTAAAAAAAAAGTAAAATGTTGGAATATATACCATAAATTATAATATATTTCGGTTGAAATATAAATGATAAAGAATGAATAAATAAATATTCAATTTGAAGCAATAATATCTCATTCTTTTTAAAGAGATTCAAGCAACAAAAATGAAAAAGGAGTTCTACACTAATCATGTTTTATTTGAATTAATTACAGGACAATATTATACAAAATAAAAATAAAAAATGCTAAGAAGTTTACTGTATATCCTGTTGGCAAATATAATAATATAATAATATCAAAAGACTCATAAAAATCATATAGGACCTAAAATAAATAAATTAATTAACATGACATATTTTTCTCTTAAAATATCCTTCTTTTGATAATCAGGTAAGATACACAGCATGAATATTGAATAGTAAACGATTTTAAATTCTTGAATCATATGGAAATGGTAATAATACTACTGATTAATTAATGTGTATTCATCTTAAAGTGCAAATAATGTATGAATTGAGATAGAAGGAACTAATAATAATACTTCTATAATTATTTCAAGCGTACGTAGATATAATTACCCTAATAATTAATCCACAAATTAAAGTATGTTGAGACCATACTTTTCTGAAATCCCTTGTAAGGCTGAAGGCAACGTGAGACTATACTATAATCTTTTTTCTCCATCTTATATGGTCTATTTTAATTTTTTCACAAAATAAAAAGCTTAGTTTACTAGTCATTATATTGTCTTTTATTCCATCTGTGATTTATTGGCAATCATTACTAGTATTATTTTTATATTAAATAAGATCTAAACTAGGGATTATGCATAAGTACCCCTAATCTATGTTCGAAATCTCAGAGACACACTTATACTATACTAAGGTCCTATTACCCCCTCGAACTTATTTTATAAATAATTTTCTATTCCTTTTCGGCCTACGTGACACTATCTTGTGGACTCAGCGCGTGTTGACAATTTTTTCAAGCTACCTGGTTGATAGTGCCACGTAGACCAAAAAGGGGTAGAAAATTATTTATAAAATAAGTTCAGGAGAATAATATGACCTTAGTATACTACAAAGTTTTGATGGGGCCCTAAGAATATAATAATTCAAACTCTTTCTTGGCCCCTTCTTGTTGACATGACCATTTTATGTTGCTCCAATTAATAGCCTATAACAATTAATTTAAATATTCCAAAAAAAAAAGGTTTTCTGTGTGTACGGTTTACATCTTCTTTGGATGGTTGTTATCCGTTGTATTGTATTGTTAGTTTAAATATTGATTAGTACTTAAGTTTTATTATATCATATCGTTTAAATTCATCGTTAGGTAACGTTGAAAAGACCCATGAAGACCAGTTTGGTGTGATCGCGTCGTTACCTTAATATTTTCTTCTCATTTTATCTTTATTTATTATTTAATAATTGTATTTCATCTTTTACCCTACTTTTTCATAGTATCTCTACCCCGTACCTTACTTTGCTTGTAGGTTTATTCAAATTATGGATGTGTGACATTATGTAACGACGCAGAACGATACAACTTATCCAAACACTGTATTCATTAAAACAATACAATACGATACATTATGAAATAACACGTAACAATCATCCAAACAAAGTGTTAATTGCCTAGAATTTTTATTTATTTTATAAAAAAATTACATTTTATGCTAAGGACTACACCAATTACCTAAAAAAGAAAAGAAGTAGCTCTAATTCGGGAAATTTAGATTAAGGAATAATTGCACTTTTATTCTTCAGTTATTGATAAATTCTGATTTTGGTCCATTTAATATTTCCTAAGCACTTCTAATCTCAATCAACTAAAATATGTTTTTTCGTAACAATAAAAATTAACATAACACATCAATAATTGAATAATTTGTTAATTTTGTGAAGATTTATGATCCGAGAGATAAAAAATGTACAAATCAAATTTCAATTAATTAAAATTGATATGTGCTTAATTAAAAAATATAAGGATGGAAATTAGAATTTATGGATATCTAAGTAACTAAAAGTGCTAATTTTCCTAAAAATATCTCTCTTTCTTAAACTCGGTAGTCCTTTCCTTTCCTTTCTTTACTACTTTATTTTAGTAGAAAATTTTAAATAAGAACAATCAAACTTTTTTATAACAACGTCATTTATTTCGATAATTTTTAACTGCTATAGAAAAATATTAAAACATATAATATAACCTAATGATTTCACGAAAATATAATTATTAGAGAGGTCTGATTGTCCATAATTGAACCACTTACTTAACAAGGAAACCTTAGTTTATAATTTTATATGGAATGTGATAGAGTGACCCACCATGTGAAAGTCAATATCATTATAAGAATCGTTATCCCCTTGGCTTTGTATGTTCAACTTTAGACATTGGTTATGTTTTATGGTTTTTTGCCCATTCCACCATGTTTTTCTGAAACCTCAATTCTTGACAACATAATTCTAAACCAATCCCTACTCCACCACTACTTTTCCTTCATATTTATCCAATTATATATTTCAAACACTGCATCAAAAAATGATCTTTAGTGGCAATTAATTAATG